TTAGTAAACTGCAATAGAAGCATGACTTGCAGGAGAATGATATATGGGATAGATTGACTGAGGGTAGTTTCTAGATTATTGTCTATCAAAACTCATAGCTTGAGTCTCATTTTTTTTGACATCTTTTTAGCAGCAAATGATTCTCTTTCTTTTAGTTTACCACTTTTGATTGCATTTTTAATTATCTCTTTTGAAATCACCATATTGATAAAATTCTTAGTCATGTTCCCTATCATCTTCTCATAGTACGATGATTTTAGTGCTTACAAATAGCACTATCATTTTTTTTCTCTATTAGGAAAGGTTGTACCTAAGCAGCGATGTCTCACCACCTTTAGGCATATTCTTTGAAAGATTTAGATTTTTTTTCTTCATACTTTGTAATGAAAGGCGATTAGGAGCATGTCTATGATGTGGCGATATTAGTTTATAAAAGATTGTGTTAAATCCTTCCATGATTTAATGTGAGTCTTATACAATTGAAAGTACCATCTTATAGTAGACCCAATCAAGCTGTCTTGAAACACATGCATAAGTAGTTTCTCGTTGTTGGCATATGCTATCATCTTACGATAATACATTATGATGTATGTAATAAGACACTTAGTACTATCGTATTTTTCAAATATTGGTACTTTAAACTTTATAAAAATCACATCTGGCACCAAACAAAGATTGACAGCATCCATAAATCCATAAAACTCAATATCTTTCACATCCCGTAATCTTTTTTTCAATTATGCTCATGGCTTGATCGATCTTAAAGTCTTCTAGAAGTGCAACTGTTTGTAATTTCACTTTTTCTTTTACCTCATCCATTTGGAAATTTGGATGGGCCCATCTACCTTTCAGCAAAGACAAGATTGATATAACTTTAAACATTCTCTTGATCGAGTGCATAAGGCATTCTATAATTCAGGAATATGGTCTGCTGTGGCTGAAGACTTGGAGTAATTTGGGTCTGGTGTGGACCAAAACCTGATGGATATAGTGGTTTAGTAACTTCATGTGAGTTATCTTTTTCCAACTACTTTCCTTTACTTATCTTTTTCAAAGCATCCAGAATCTTGCTTAATTTTCCCTCAAGTATCTCCTAGGCTTTTTTTATCCTTTTGAGATGATTTGTATTATCCTGTTCCATTTTCTTAGTTTTAGTCTAAGTATAATACTGGTGTTGAGTTATCCTCTAACCTTGATTTTTATAATATGCAAATTTAAGATGATGCTTATGGAGCCTTCAAAATTAGGTATGAAAATGAAAACAAAGACAAAATGCATGAATGCAATAAGAAGAATTTACCACATAACAATTGTTATCAAAAGAAATCTTTATTGAATTAAAAGTTATTACATCCATGAAAAGTCTAGAACTACTAGGAAAAGAAACCCATGGCTCATCGATACTAGTTTGCACTTCGTTATGAAAATCTACCAATTTTTAACTGTGTACTTCCACTTGTGGCACCCTTACTTTCCATTTTTCAATCCTGTCTATCATATCCTTGGCTTTGTAAATGGCCACCAGGATTCGGTCAAGCAGAGACTTCATTAGTTATGCTTATTCATATATGCTTCTTTCATATGCTCATATTCTTCAGTTACAGCCTTCATTTGCATTTTGATTCCTATCATCACTTCATTTAACATCTAGATGTGCTTTTGTGCTTCAAAGACCATTGCTTCATTTTCTTGTAATTTTGCTTGCAATTGTATATTTTCTTACAACAGTTAGGCCAATTCCTAATTAGTGGATGACCTTATTGTATTAAGGTCAATGCATAAATTCCTTCATCCATCCTTTTCTTGCTCTAGTCTTTGGACTTCCATTTTTAGCCTTTTGTTTGAAAGCTTCAACTTTTTAGACTCTTTTTTTAGGCCAATAAAAGATTTGCCTAGGCTTTTCATTGATGTAACTGAGATTTTTTTTTGTTAAGAATATTTTATGACGAATATTCCTTATGATGATATGAATACATGATGAAAGAAAAGAGTTAGTAAAAATAATATACAAAGAGTAATAGATAGGGTACAAACATATACAAAAATAAAAGACAATACATGGCCTTACAAGTAAAATAAACATCCAATCATCTGTCTTATTTAGGATTCTCTAACACAGGGGAAGGCATGGCTCTACCTAGGTTCGGACACTTAAGGTTAACTATATATAACTCGAATTATTTCTAAAAAGTTCTTAAATTATTTTTTACATCATTATCCATTATAGACTAGTAAGGCACCCCGATCCTCACCCATTATAGACTACAAGCAAAAAGGGTTCAATTTGAGTGGGAGTGTTTTGCAGGTCCATACGGAGACATGAAATCTCATGAGGGTATAGGTACTTTGCTCCCTCTTAAAAGTAGAGCTTGGGTGGAGAGCTTTATACACATGCAAATGAATGACAGATATAGACAATAAATAAATGAATAGCTAAACAAATATGAGCAATGAAAAGAAGTAAATAGGAAAGAAAGAAAATAAGCTCAAATTTATTAAGCAAGGCTTTGATAATAAAAAATCATTTACTGGCTTGACTCTTGATATCTCTAGTGAAATCGTTAAACTATCATAATGTATAGATTTGTGGACCTATCGCTAGATATGAATTAAAGGGAGTCGCTACTAATCTTTTTTGTTTAGGTGTGATTGGCTACCTGATTGAATCTATCCTATTTAAAAAGGAGTCTTAAGATTGACTTAAATATATTTAAATAGGCGATTCTAATCTATGAAATTAGAGTTTAGGTTCGAGAGTACGATTACATATGGGGAAGGTTATAGTACCCCTACAGCACTTATCTAAATATGGTACCAATTTGATCTCAAATCATCTAAGCCTTGAAAATATTTATATTTTACCAAAATATTTAATATTGAGAATTAATCTTAAAAGTATCCCAATAGTTTGGTAGTAGTTTAAAATAATTCTCTCTTCTCAGAAGTATTTATGGGGACTAGTATCCCACTCTAAAGAGGTTCTGTCATCGGATTTATTAAAGTATTTTATTTCAAAAAATTAGTAAAGTCTTCCGATAGTTTAGTAAGACTTACTTTAAAACAGATCTCTCAATAGTTTAATGAGATTTTATTGTAAAAAGATTTGTAAAGATTTTTTAGAATTTCATTAAATCTTCAAATAGTTTGGTAGGACTTAATTTGAAGCTATCCTCCAATAGTTTAAAACATAAAAATTATTTTTTTGATTTTTTATTGCAAACTGATTTATGAAATTTTTTAATAGTTTGGTGGATTTCATAAAGATTTAATTCATGAAAATTCTCTAATAGTTTGGTAGAATTCATTAATTCATTTTGTAAGGATTTTTATCTGAAAAATATTTTTTCCCTTTTTTTTGTTTTTATTCTTTTTTTTACTTATTTGAAAAGATTTTTTATATTTATATTTTTTTGTTTTTTCATTTATTGTCAAAAATAAAACAGTAGAAAGAATTTTTACAAATAATAAAATTTCTCAAATAAAATAAAATCAGTAAAATAATAAAAAACTAAAAATAAAATAAGCTTAAAAAATACAATAAAATTAAAAAATCAAAATCAAAATCAAAATGAAAAAAGGAAAAAGGAAAAAAGAAAACCTGCAATCAGGTCGGATTAGAGCACGGGTCAGCACCCTGGTCAACAGGTCAGCGCCTAGATCCTAGGCTATCCAAAATGACATTGTTTTATGCTGTTATAAAAGGTGTTTCTCAGCATTTTTGCTTTAGAATCCTCTACCTTCTCTCTCTCTCTAGATCAAAAAGCTCTGACTTCTTTCTAGAAATCCTAAGAACACCTATTGGAAACTTCAACTGAAAATTAAAAAACCTACTGGTTTTTGAAAAATTTAACATCTCGCCAAAAAATTTATGTTCTTCCCAAAAACCTAGATTTTTCAAAAAAAAAACCCAAAAATTTCTCAGATTTACCAAACACCCAATTCATCCTCTTTTTTTGTTTAAAAAAAAAACCAACCGTATCCCTCTAAAATCCACCTTATGTTGTTCTATCAAACTGTGTTGAATTTATAACCCCTTTTAGGATAGATTTTAAAAAACTGGCAAAATTTGATCTCAAGATTCTTATCAAACTGTGTTCAATTTATAAGCCCCATTATGATAAATTTTAGGAAACGAACAAAATCAATCCCAAGCTTGAATCCTGGAATTAGATTCTGCCCAAGCCTCAAATTTGGTCTAAGTTCTTTGTCAATTGATTCGAAAATCATTTGATTATGAATTAAAGCCTTCAACTGTTAAAGATTGGATTCCTTTGATTTAGGAAATTCAATTCTTCAATTACCTTAACCGATCGGCAGTTAAAGAAAAAGAAAGAAAAAATAAAAATAAGAAAATATAATACCGAATAATAATAATAATAATAATAATAATAATAATAATAATACAATATTATACTATAGTACTTATAAAATATAAAATAATAATATAATATAATATAAAAATAATAGTAATAATGAAAATCGGTTCGATTGATCCTGGACATATATAAGTGTTTACAATTATTATTATTATTATTATTATTATTGTAAACACCTTATCTAGTTTAATTGAGATAGTTTTTTGGGTTCAATAATTAACCCGATTTTCTTTTGAGTTTTTCAATGCAATTCGAACTTGGTTAATATGAATCTAAATTAAACTGGTTTAAAATTCACTTGTTGCAATTTAAAAGCCATTGGAGCCTTTGAATTATTTGGGCCTTAATTGGATACTTGAGCTTTCAGCTTGGTATAGGTTTTAAAATACTATTTTAAGTAAAATTTTTACATATGCATTGTTTCATCCAAATAAAAAAGAAAATTGCATTAATTATTATATTCTATTTCTTAAATACCATTTTTATCAGTACCGTAGACATCATTTAACATAATAATAATAATAATAATAATGGATGGGACATCAATTTATTAGATTAGGTTGATAATTAAATCGCCATTGATCCATTTAATTTTCTCATAAACTCATTGATTCCAAACAAAATGAAAATAAAAGAAGAATGGGAAAAAAAAAATACAAAAGTATGATTGGTACACCAAATTAGACAATCAAGAGTATATTTAAGGATAGAGAAAAGAACAAGAAGTAGAAGTCCATGATTTATTGTCATATGTCAAACATACGGCATACGATTGCTACCAAACATTCATTTCAGCACCCTTGCATACAGCATAGGATATACCACGTAATTTATTAGATGGGTGGTGGTAGGCTAGAATTCTAATGCTCATAAACGGAATCTTGCAGTCGAGGCTTGGGAGTGCCAAGCAAGCTCTTATCTTTCTGAATAGTAAGCCCTACCCTCTCACTCATATCATTTAGAATTCCAGGAGGAGAGTCCCACTCGAAAGCATGGAGCAATGCAGCCAAGTAGTAATGCACCATCCGATGAGCAAGGGGCCATCCAACACAAGACCTTCTCCCTGTCCCAAAAGGCAAGAGATTAAAGTCTTGACCCTTCACATCTACGCTTGACCCAATGAACCTCTCAGGCTTGAAGTCTAAAGGATTTTCCCACACTTTGGGATCCCTTGCCATTCCCCAAATATTCACATAAACAATGCAATGCTTCGGAATATGATAGCCAGCTACCTCACATGCCTCATTGGTGCGACGAGGGATGATGAGTGGAACTCCAGGGTGCAGTCTAAAAACTTCTTTAACAGTTGCTTGAAGGTATGGCAGTTTTGGGATATCACTCTCTACCACAAACCTGTTCTTCCCGACTACTTGGTCCAGTTCCAGTAGCAGTTTCTTGTGTATACGAGGTTGCCTTAGGATTTCTGTCATGCCCCATTCCACGGTGCTTGAGGTAGTCTCTGTTCCTGCTATAAACATTTCCTGCCAAAACAGGATTAAAGAAGAACCTCAAAATAACAATATTGCGACATGCTTTAATTTGTTGCACTAAAATGTACTTCATATAACATATGTATATAGTGTTGTAAATACTTACGGAAAGCATTCCTTTGATGATAGCTCTTGAGAAGCGTTCCAAACCATTTTCCTTGTCATTACTCTTATAACTCAAAAGAACATCCAACAAATCCGTCTTCTCATTGTTGTGTGTCGTCTCAAGTTGAGCTTTTACCTTCTCCGCCAACCTTTCCTCAATTATCTTCTCATAGAAAGCATCCATTTGGTCAAAGATCTTTCTAATTTTTCTCTTCAAGCCTTGTGGATCTAATGGTTTTACAATTGGAAGGAGATCGGAAAAGTTTGGGGTTCCAATCACCTTTATCATCTCCCAAAACACCTCTTTCATTTTTCTTCCTTCGGGCTTTGAGTTGTCGAAAATATTTTTGGAGCAGACAAAATTACTCACAAGGTTGGCCAATGCCGTAAAAGCTGATTCTGCAATGTTCACTTGAGTGTTGGACTTTGACAGCAAGTACAAATGCTTGAGCAAGCCATGGACCTATCAATATATATAAACAAGCAACTCAACAACTTAATTTGCAACCTTAATTAGATTAATTTGAATTTCAATTTTGGTATGTATAAATTATATGGTAGAACTCATGAAAACATCTCATAATTATTTCGAGGTCATCAGTTTATTAGATACCTATTGGTGCTGAATTAATTTGAAATATCTATATAAAGTAATAATTTTTTAGTTCATCCTTTTTATTATACCCTCTCAAGTACACGTATTTTACTGTTTTGATCTTTTTTAACCTTTAAATAGTACTAGTTTTAATACCTTAGTTTTATTTTTTTTAGTACTTAAGCAAATGAGATGTAAATCTCAATTACATATATAGAAATATTTTGATTAATTTTTTTTAATTAGAATTTACTAATTAATTGGAAAATAAAATTTATTTTTTATAATAATTTCAAATTAAAATCAATTGATATCAAACTAACATAAAAATTTTAAAAATGAATTGCTTAAATAAGTAAAACAAAAAGATAAAGTAAATTATAAAAAATTTAAATTAATACATTAAATAAACAAAATATAAAGCATAAAATGATTCTAAAAATAAAAAATAAAAATAAAATCTCCAACATGAAGCCCAATAAATAAAACAAAATCATTAAATATCTTTAAATGGTCCCAAAGTACGACTTTCAATCTTTCCAACGAATTGTAAAGATTATCCATAAAAAATAAAAAAATTCCTTTAATGTCTTTTGTGTACATATGTCACCATTACATTAATCTGTATACAACTTTTAATGTATTATTATTACTACGAAGGTAAAGATTCGTGTTCTGCTTTAAAACTGTATGATTTAGAGAATTTTTTTTAAATGATCAAAATAATTGAAAAAAATGTCTTTGTCTTGCATATATTACTATAAAACACTTTACCATCATAAAAATAATCAATATCTCAAAAGACATAGACATCTTTATATATATATATATATATATACATATATTTATATAACTCAACTATAAACCTATAAATTATTTAACAAAAACCATAAATCTATAAAATAAAATCCAAAAATAAATAAATAAATGAATATTAAATTAAGTATATATATATATATATATAACTCAACTATAAACCTATAAATTATTTAAAAAAAAAAAAAAACAACTATAAATCTATAAATCAAAATCCAAAAATAAATTAATTACTTAATATTAAATTAAGTTTACCAAAATAACTTTACATATCTACACATAAAACTCTTATCTCAATCATTGGATTTAAATTGCAATATTTAAAGTACCCATTTCACTTCCAATTTTTTTCAAACACACGTCTTCACATTAAACCATGTAGACAATTTTCATGTTATGTTAGATTATTATTATTATTGATTTTAGATTTTACACTCATTCTTACAATCTATACGACAAACCACTCTTTTAGATTCATATATTCGCAAGTATGTATAGGATAAGAAAATAAATTGAAATCGGATTAACCTGTGTGGTACGGAGTGATTCAAATTGTTCAAAGGCCTTAGGAGAAAGTAGTTCAGTGATCAAGATTCTTCTAAGAGCCTTCCACCTGGGACCATAGGGTGAGAAAATGATGGAATGGGCATCATATGAGACGACTCGAATGGCTTCGGTTATGGTCCGACTAGAGAACATCCCTTCCTTTTCTTTCAGGACTTGGGCTGCCATTTCTGGGGATGATACTACTATGGCTGGCTTTATGCCCATGTTTACACTGAAAAGTGGCCCATAGATCTTGGCGAGCTGAAAGAAATCTTCATGAAGATGATGGCTGAGATGTGGAAGGCTTCCGAGGATGGGCCAACCAGCAGGGCCTGGTGGTGCATTCTTCCAGTTTTTACGTTGACCGCCGAAGAGTATCGGAATAACAAAATAGGAAGCAATCGACATTGTCGCTGCTAAGAGCATGGAGCCAGAAAGAAAGGAATTGAAACAGTCGCTAAGGCTTAAGATGGAAGAATGCAACAAATCCATAATGGTAATGTCGATCCCTCCCCTTTGGCTCTAACTTCGTATATATGGAGGAAGACAAGGTTGCTGTGATTGCGAAATGTATGGGAATCTCATGTTCTTATTTATACACACTGAAAAATATTGTATAACCGTCAATAGTTGGATCCTAAATTTAAGTGAAAATTTTCACAGTTTTAAGTAAAAAAGCTATATATCCTCATATTATCATTTTAATGACTATCATGTGATGTATTATGAAATGTTTATGAAAGAAAAACTTATTTCAAGTTAATGTTTAAACTCTGAGCAAAACAAACAACAGTTAATCCAAATTTATTGTAATAAGACCAAAACAAGCATTTATTGTTTCTGACATATGTAACTGCTATTCTCAACAAACCCGATAAGCCCAAATTAAATGTACGATGGATTTATCCTTCCATTAATAAAATCTTATTGTCATCACTCTAAGAATCTTAGTTATACTTCCCTTGGCAAGCTTGAAATTTTATTAAAAGGGTAAGATGACAAGGATGCATTTATGGCCTAATCAATGCACGACTAATATTCCATAATATGCACGCATGATGCCGAGTTCCACAGTTCAACTTTTTATTTGTGTTATATATTTTTCCAACTAATAACATATATTTAAGAAGAGAGGAATTAATTATTTCGTGTTTGATATACTATTATCCATTCAAAATCGTACATGAATAAACAATTTTCAATTTTTTTATACAGTCTTCTCGACATTTTAGTTATTAAATGCAACCAAGATTTGGCAAAAGATTATTTTGAGATATTTTGGAGATTGCTTAAGATATTGTTTGATGATCTAACAAAACTTGTTAGACAAAAAATTTATAAGGAAAAAAATTATTTTTTGAAGTAATAAGGAAAAAGATTCTTAGTCATGAGTATGGTAGTGAGTTTATTAATTATAAGAGTTTTCATAGAGTGAGGAACGAGATAAATATGTAAATAAAGTTGTAAGATTTTATAAAGTTGGATGTGTAGATATTTTATAGGATAAAGGGAATTATTCATGGATGTATGCAAACATTTCATTTTTTTTTAATGATAAAAATAGATCCAAATTATATTTTTATATTTAATTTAAATTTATTCAGATATTCTTATCATATTTATTGTTTATTGAATATAATTATGATATATTAATTAATTTTAAAAAAAAATTAAAAAAATAGTTGAAAGTTGAAAATTGAAAATCGGTGTGAACCAAAGTCCAGCCTCCACCCCATTTTTATGACGAGTCACCCACCAATACCAAACTTTGACAAATTTTGTACTACCATATTTATGACGAGTCACCTACCAATACCAAACTTTGACAAATTTTGTAGTAAGGTTTCTGTGGCTTTCAAAATGATAAAATTTATTTAAAATTTTTTAAGGTGAAGTATGTAAAAATTTTTAAAAAATTAATTTAATAAAATTTTTAATAAAATTTTAGATTGATAAATTAATAAAATTTAATGTAAAAATTAATAATATATAAAAAATTATTAAAAATGTAATCAATATTTATTTAATAATAAAAATTTTATTAATATTTTTATTAAAAATATTTATCTAAAACTTTATATCAAAATTTATTAAAATATTTTTCAAAATTTGCATACATATTTAATTTATATAATGAAAATTTTTGATTTATCACTTTTAATTTTTAATTTTAATTTTTAGGTAATAATTTTTAATAAAAAATTTAACGAACTTCCGAGAGTTCATCCAAGTCTTTCCCCTTTCAAAAACTATCCATCAATCCCAAATTTTTTGGGATCTGAATTGATATTGGACACTACAAATCTAGCTATCAAAAATAGAATAAGGAGGCCAATAAAAACAAGGAGGAACATTTGGCAAAAATCCCCATCACACCGCCGACCACCATTACAGCCCGTAAACCACCCCTCACTGGCCACCATCTCCCAAGCCAATACCCCAACAACTGCCACTCAAAAATTCCGATCCAATCGAAAACCCCTTTTGCCGAACGTCCAAAAAACCTAAAAAATTCACAAAAAAAAAAACCACATCCCCTGGGTAGGCGAACCTCATCAACGCCAAAAAAAATTTTTAAAAAAGGGGTAAAAGGTTTCGGTCTAGAAGATTTTGGGTTTGAATATGTTTCTGAGCTGGATCTAAAGAGGAGATGAGGGTCTCAACCATGAGAAGGATATAGTGGAAGCTGGAGTTTGGAGTGACAACGTAAGAGATTTTGGAATGTTTGTGCCACAGCTTTAAGGTTAAATCTAGAGTTCTAGACATTGTTTCTGAAAAGACAAAGGTTGGAAAGGTGTTCAGAGCGTTGAGATAAGGTTGGGGTGAAGATTTGAGTTTGAACAACGACCGACAAACGGGAGCCGGCGACTAGAGATGGAGGTCGGCACAGCGACTGTCTGCCTATATCTGGGTTTTAGGGATGATGGCCGACTGGATTAGAGAGAGAGGGAGAGTATCAGAGAGGGGAGAGGAAGAGAGAGAAGTAGGTAAAAATGGAATAAAAAATTTTTTGGGCATTTTATAAGATGAGCAATACGGTGCCGTTTTAGGATTGGGAGATCCACTATTCGAACAGACATCCAGGGTCTGCGTGCCCGATCCACTCTAGTTTCTTTTATTCAACCCTTGACCAGTTCAAATAAATCGCCTGCGAACCAGAAATGAACCGGACCAAACCGTTTAAATTTGTGGAAAATCGCTCCAAATCGCTAAACCGTTTGTGAACAACTAAGTGAACTGATTGAACCATCTCCAAACCAAAAATAGCTTGAATCGATTGTTGACCGGTTTGATCGATCATTTTGATAATTTTCTTTTATCTTTTGTTTTGTTTTTATTTTATTTATATTTATGTTTTATATTTAATATATGCATGTTAAAATTTAAATTTGTTTGAACAGGAGATATTTATTTATTTTAAATAATAATAATAATAATAAAATTACTAAATAAAGTGTTAAATTAAAATCTATTTACATATTATAATTGTATCATAAAATTTAACAAATTTTAAGTAAAAATAATAAAGGAATAAATGATATGATAAAAAATAAAAATATTTTAAATAATAAATTTTCAAATAATTGCAAATGTGCGATTGATAAATAAAAAATCTTTTAAATTTCACTAGAATGATGGTAAATTTAGAAGAAAATTTTAATAATATCTATTTTGAAAAAAAATAAAATAATAAAAATTATATAATAATAAAAGTTAACATTTTAAGATAAGATAAATGTAGATGATAAAAATCTAAAAAATTATGAGTGTATAATTTTCTTGAGAAAATTATTTATGAATTCTATTAGAATTATGAAAAAGTCATCAAAACAAATAAAAAGGAATAAAATAAAATATCAAATGTCACAAAATCGAATATTAACAAAGACTTTTTAAATTTGAGAATAATAAAAATTGCTTTAATCATGGTAAGAGGACCTTACGTGTGAAAACCCGTCCAAATTTATTAGAATGATGGAAATTTTGAAAAAAAAAAAAATCTAACAATAACGATTTGCATTTATTTTCAAATAAGAGAAATATAAGAAAAATAAATATTAATTAGTTAAATTTCACTTTTATAATATTTCAATAAATCATAAAAGTAAAAAATAATCATTAATTAGCATTGGGATTTTAAAGAAAATTACGAACAAATGATTTTTTCAAGAATTTGTAGCAAAGTAGTTTGTCTAAATTTTGCGAAAATGATGAAAAATTTAAACAAATTTATAAAATTAAAATTTTTAAATTAAAATGTAAAAGCAAATTTTTAAAATGAAATCATAAAAAATTTTAATAAATCTAATGATTGAGCATTTTTAAGAAAACCAATAAATTTTTTTAATATTTTTGAAGTGATAAAAACTTTTAGGGATTTTACCAAAATGATGGAAAAATCCTACAAAATTTTTTAATAATTAAATAATTTAATTTAATTTTTAAAAAAAGATCATTTAATTAAGATTATTTTGGCATAACACAAAATTACTTGATACTATCTTTGGATGGGAGCTGTAAGAGTGCTAATTTTTTCTAACGTGTAACCGTACTTTCGAATTTAGCTTTGCAACGTAAACCAAAAGCTATCATTTTTTATAAAATTCTTAATTGAACTTAAAATTTCTTAAAGAGAGAGAGTTTTAATTTGGTAACCAATTACATCTCAACAAAAAAGATTGATGGTGACTCTTTGAATTTTTTTATTTAGCAATCAAGTTTTCAGACTGATACATTATAACGGTGTAAATGTTTGATTTAAGATTGTTAGAGTCTAAGTGAGAATGCTCGTATATATGTTTTGGATTGTAATTATTTGATTTTTGGGTTGAGATTGATGTGTTTGTGAGTTAGGATTGATAATGTATGGTTGGGATTGGGTTATGAGTTGAGTGTTTGAATGGAGTGTTAACGTGACTATAATTCTCAACAACTAATGAATCTTCATAGATTTAGATGAGCTGAATATGTAATCATATTAAATTTTTGTCTTTGTGTACATGATTGATTATTTGATTTCGTTTCTACTTGCTTAGATGATTATTGATTGGCCATTTAGCCTACCAGTAATATCAAAGCTTGGTTTGGGATAGATGTGAATATGATAATCTACTAGTTGTATCAAAGGATGATTTAAGGCAAATGTGGTGAAAAATCATATAGAAAGTATTGAAGTAAGATTGGATTTAGATGTGATAATTGAAGATTATGATATTGTGATGAAAATGAAAACACACAAGATTGTACGAGACTTTTGTTAATGACGAGTTGAAATATGTTTAGCACGAAAATTGATAATATAATGGAATTTGAATCAAGGTGAATATTGTTGAAAAAATTGATTCAATCCCAAGTAATTTTTGGTGAAAGATATTTTGAAATATATTTAGGATTGTTAAAAATATTACTAAGAAAACTTATTAAACAAGAATTCTAAAAAAAAAGAAAATTCTTGTTGAAAAAGTTAATGGTTTATAAATAATATGAGTCTCCATAAAAAAGGTATGAGAGAAATATTTAAATAAAGTTATAGAGTTTTACGAGATTAAATATATA